CAGAAGGCCTGTGGGTAGGTGGCAACTTGACTTAGGGCTCTAGGCTCTTACCTGTCCAAACATCTGCCACTGAACTCCTGGCTCTGAGATCCAGGGGGCGGGTAAATGTCCATGTCATCCTGTCCCAGGGGATGAGGTGAGGAAGCTGGGAGGTACACTGCTGCCCAGACATGCAGCGCTCGCACGTGGCACACTGGATGGAGCACCTGCAACAACCCCTTCCCATCAGAGACAAACGCAGCAGGAAACCCCCCCAAGCCTCTCCCCACACGGTACCTGGCAGGTGGAAAACCTGGAAGGCTGGGCCGGGAGCTCTACTGACCTGCTCAGAGCCTGGCATGTAGAGCAGGTTGTGGAAGTTCTTGTTGCCCGCCCGCAGGAGGGACCACACGGAGCAGGTCCTCTTGTAGATGTTGTGCATCTCTCGCTCGCAGGGGCTGTTCCCCAGGAAGGTCCCGTAGAGGCAGGAATACGTGTGCTGCACCAGCTTCACCTGCAGCATCAGAAGGGTGACAGTTGTCACTGGGGAATGGTGTCTCCTGCCCACAGGGGGCACATCTTCCACTCCCCTGGGATGGCTCCCGCGCTGCGTCCGCAGGCCGTGACCCTGCTGCTGTCCCTGCTGCCACACGGGGCAGGACAAGAGGGGACAGCAGCAGGAACCACTCAGAGTGAAAGCAACAGTCAACTGTTCCCATACCCAGCCCTCTATAACCCCTAGCCTGTATTATTTGATAAGAAAGACTAATAGCTATCATTTCCCTAATTTATTTTTCAGACTCGTGCTGCTCTGAGATATGCAGATCAGGCTTTTTATCAAAACAGGGCTGCTGGTATCTCAATGCACTGGGCTGGAAAGGGACCCGGAGAAGATGTGACTCCAGGAAACCAGAGAGTATCAACCCTTCATCTCTGTGCAATCTGCTGGGTGCTCCGAGCCTGCAGCACCCACGGGAGGAGGAGGGAGCTGCAGGCACCTAACAGAAGCTGGCAGAGACATCACACATACAGAAGCAGGTCAAAACACCACGAGGGAAGGGCAGGGCTGGACACACAGGGCTTGACCCATGGTGAAGGTATGTCAGGAAGGCCAGCAGAGAGCCCAGGCACTGCTCAGACACTTTCCAATTTTTAAGGAATTCAAATTTTTGTTTTCTTTCAACTACAACACTAAAATACCACGGCCTTCCCTCTGCTCCCATCTGGCAAGGGATAAAGAGCTGTTTGCGTGCACTACTTCTTACCAAAAAAGCTTCGTTAAATTCAAAGAGGCAAGGGAATTGCTTCAGAAGCTGATGAACAGCATCCAGCCACTGGAGGAAAACTGGGCACTGCTCATTCTGATCTTCTGCCTTCTCCTGGTGACCACAGCGATCACCGAACTTGTGACCAAAATCCAGCCAATCTGATTCAACAAGCACCTGGAAGCCCTGTGAATACAAGAAAAAAACCTAACTGCAGACACTTTGCTGTAGGCAGGCAGGGGGACAAGGCGAGGCCCATCTGCCAGCAGTGCCAGGCAGACTCCAGACTTCCAAAGGGCTGGAGCTGAGGCCAGAGTGGTGCTCAGTGGGGGAGCAAAGCTCCCTGAACGTCAAGAGGTTTCCAAACGCAAGCAAATAGCTGTTATTCCTATCCAATAAACACACAGTTAAGACTAGGGAAGAGCTGAACCTTGGACACACGAGGTTGTTTACTACAGTACTTCAAGCTGGGCAGAGGAGTGAGGTACAGCTCACTGAAAACAGGCAGGGAAGAGCATGGAAAAACCCAGCAGCCACAGGAGCAGCTCTGGAACCCCACTAAGCCGATTGCCCCATGTGATCCTGCTCCCTTCTCCACAGACTCCCAGACAAAAGCTGCCTTTTAGCAGCCACCAGCATGGCACAACTCCTACCTCCATGGTCCTGTAGTAAGGGTCCAGAAGAATTTTTGCCAGTGCTACGATCTGTGGAGTCCTGTCCCAGCCATCTGAGCAGTGAACCAGCACTGGCCGCCCTTCTCTGTCAACTGCATTGGAGACCAGCACTGCTGCCTTCAGCATGACAGACAGGTGCTGCAGCCACTTGGTACTCTCCAGGGCTGAAAGCCAGCTAGAAGGTGTGCAGAAAAGAGGAAAATGGTTTCTTGGCTCTCCAGTGAAAAAATCCCAAGCAATAGCTACATTTTAAGTGAAGTCTTTTTAGAGTCCTCAACGAAAATCAGTCTCTTCTCGAACACCTTCAAGAGAAGCCATCCATTCTAGGAATGACTGCAAAGAATCCAACCCCTAATTTCAGTTTTTCCCAGACACAGCTACATTTTAGAAACCCTCAGAGGACAGACCAACCAAGTGACACTGAGGCAGTGCTGCAATCCCTTCTGCATTACCAGGGATCAAAATAAAAAGCTTTCAAGCATTGTTGTGAGCATTTTCCTATCCTTCCATTTTTCAGGTAGAAACCTGGGACGGGACAAAGGAAAAAGGAGGGAGAAACCCCCAGGACAGATGTGGCACCAAACTCAGCTAGAGAAGAGTCACTTACTTGCTGGGGTCTGGCACCTGACTGCAGACAGCACGCAGATACTGGAAGCTGTTCCGGATGGAGTGGATGTTGGCCATGCCCATGAACACCACTTCACAGTTTGGGTAATACTCTGAACACAACAGAGACAGAAACATTCAGAGAGAGCTGGTGCCACCACAGCAACTGCCTCCCTGCACAGAATGTGGCTGTCCCCTCACAGCACCCTTCTGGTCTCCAGCAGCAGGGAGGCAGATTATCTACAAAAGCCTTGTGGGCCAGCAGCAATACTTCTGGATGAGTGAGAAGGGGAATACAGTCCCAGACTCTGGGTACCAAAATGCTGACCTGACCCCCAGCTGCCCTCCAGGACCCACTTAGCAAAGCAGGTTGAAGAGGAAGGTGTTGGGATGTGCTTAGCCCTCCATACCTTCACATTCACAGCCACCTCCCTTTGCCCTGTTGGCCACGGCCGCCGTGTAGGATCTGGCATCAAGAATCAGCAGCTTCTGAGGAGTTCCTGCGTTCTCCACCCCAGAACACGCCGTCAGGGACGAGTCTGCAGAGACAGCACAGACTGAGCTCTCGGCCACCACCTCCCTCCTGTGCCACCCCACACTGGCCGTGAACAAGCACAGAGACCCATCCCACACACCACAGACCAGGTGCAGCAGGGCCGGGATTATCCACGTGACTCTCAGGTTGAAACCCTGCACCCTACCAGCCCCGTCAGCACCAACGGCCACATGCTGGTGTGGGAAGCACCGAGCTACGGCCACGTTTCGGGGAGGGGGGAGGGGAGCCAGGGGTCTCACCAAAGTCAGCCTCGCAGGCCTCGCTGCCATCGCTGCTCCCATTGTGAGGGACACCACCAGGTACCTTCACCCCGGGGTTCAAGGCACAGGCTTTGGCAATGGATGTCACGAGATACTCGTCGTCGGCGTTCCGCCAGCCCCACCAGCTGATCTCGGGCTGGCTGCAGCGCGCGATCACCGCCCCGTTGCGCACGTGTCTGCAAGGGAAGCCAGAGCCCCGTGAGGCTCCCAGGAAAGGGGGGGAGCAGTGAAACGGGGCTGGGCACTTCCAATTACTATTCACAGAACTGGGGGGGAGGGTTGGAAGGGACCTCTGGAGATCATCTCGTCCAACCCCCCTGCTCCAGCAGGGTCACCCAGAGCAGGGTGCCCACCGCCACGCCCAGGTGGGTTACACCCATCCAGCCTCTCTGGGCAGCTGCTCCAGGCTCTGCCACCATCACAGAAAAGAAGTTTCTCCAAATGGCCTAGAAGGGAATGATCATTAGGTGACAAAGTTGCTGGTGATACAGAATTACCCAGGAGAGTCTATGGCTGCCTAGAAAAAGTTGCAAAGGATCTCATGATACTGGGGGATAAAAATAGAGTATGAAATGTAGTATTAATAAATGCAAAGTATTTACAGATGATCAAAACATAACCCTGGTGATGACATGGAGCAGTTCAGTACAAATCAAGCCAAATGTCAAAGCCTTGGAAGTTGCCGTGGAGCTCTCAGAAAGCCTCAGCTCAATACTCAAGAGATGCAAAAAGGTTAAGAGCAGTTATTTGGAAAAAGAGTAAGACAGAAAGTGTTATGACACCACATCTTATGCATCTTCAAAATGACACAAACTCCTCACTACTCCATCTCAAAAAGGGTAATGTAGTACTCAAACCTCCAGAGAAGGGTGGCAAGGGCAATCAGAGGTCTAGAAGAGCTTTGCTGTAGAGAAAACTTCTGCAGGAAAGAACTCCCCACTGTGAAAGATGAAGATGGAAAAGAGGCACAAAAGGTCACGAAAGATATAAAATGTGAGCTTGGAAGATTTGTCTTATTTTTGCCTGCTAGAAACACAAACAAGCACTGGAATAGCCACGCCCTCTGTTTGAGAAAATCAAGAAGTAATTTTTGGGCAACAAACGAACCACAGTGGCCTCAGTACCACAGCAGTGCAATGCTGAAGTGCAAACTGGTTCCAAAATACATCAAAGTCATGGAAGGCAGGTCCACCAAGTGACCGTGAAACTCCTGGCAAACCACATCCCCCTGGTTTTTTTCATTTATTTGTAGGTCACCACCTCTGAAGAAGTTCCTCTGGTGGCAAGTAGGGGAGGTAGCACTCTAGATCCTAAATCACAACAGCACAAACCTCAAGCCCTTACTCAGGGGCTGTTCAGCTGCCAGTGAGGGCTATCAGGAGCACTCCTGGAGGCACCTCTTCCTGATGCTGTCACCCTGTACGAGGCTCTGCTGTGCCACAGAGGGCATCCTGACAGTGCCTGCTCACATTGTGTGCTGCAAGGCAGCACCCCAAGGAAACACACTGAGGCCCTCAGCTCCTAACAGTGGTGCTGGTATCTCACCAGCAGCTACTGCAGTTTGCAGGGATGGTTTTGCTTCTGAAAGACAAGGTGCCCTTATTCACCTGAGGCATCTCCTCATAAAAAAGAATACATTTTAAGTGGTTATTGATATCTCATAGATAACACTGATGAAGACTTTAATGTGAAGACTTCCAGGTGCTCAGCGAAGTCAAAATCCACAGAGTCCTTCTTCTTCCAGTGTCCTCCTCTCCTGCCATTTTTGTTTTGCAATGTGACTCACAGAGCAGTTGCTCCCAGACCTATTCCTGTCTTCAGGATCACTCAAGGATGGTTAATAGTGACAGCAGCAAAGGCTTTGTTTATATTAGTAAATGAAATGGAGCCAAGGTGTGGACTTAAGCACCAGCCTGTGATCATCCAAGCTTGTTTGCTAGCACACCCACAGTTTTTGGCCTGTGCCAGCCAGCAGTTTCCCAGACAGTGCCTGAGCACGTTTTTTGGGAGATGCAGGTGCTGTGGAGGGCCTGCTCCCAGGAGGCTGTTTGGATGTGATGGCACCATTTGGGGTGCAGAAGGCAGAAGAAGAGTTTAGTTGTGTATGCCACTGGAATCCAGAGGCAGACAGCTTAATTCAACAGTACAAATGTCACCAGGGAGTCTTATTAAACTCCAAAAACTTTTTGGTACCACAAACTTTGCAGCTCTGCTACAAACACTGGGCAGAAGCTGGCTTTGAGGTAGCCAGTTTCAAGAGACATAACAACATGCCAATAAACACAAGGAAATATGGCCAGCACTGATGAGCATGAGGTCATCAGCAAGCTGAAAGTATTGCAGGTGCCAGTGGATGAACCAGAACCACAAGTGAGCCTGCAAGGAGCTTCTCAGGTCAGGGGAACAGCCACAGCCTGACCCTGTGTCCTCCTGCAAATCTCCCCAGCATGAGCACGTGAAGTGGTCCAGGTCTTTTCTTCCTGGGGATTTTTGTGGAGGTTTTCCTCACAGGAAAAAGCTCCTTTCTTTAAACTGGAATGGCAGAAGGTAGCATAGATAGCATAATCCCAAAATTATTTCTTAGGGATCCTCAGTTTAGTCATAATGACTCAAAACCCCTTCAGAACCCCAAGCTGGAGTGTGAAGTGCCTCTGTAGTTTATCAGCTGAACTTTTACTCCCAGATTCATTCAGAGCACAAGGCTAGCACACATCTGGCACTCTTGGTACCTGCCATTTAACTCGTAACAATCATCCAGAAAGCATCAACTAGCATCTCTCAAGTCCCCTCTCATTTTCTGGCTGTACTTATACAACACAAAGTCAGACAGCTTAGCTTCAAACACAAGAAAGAGCTGAGAGAGGGTTTCCAGAGCTCAAGGTTCCCAACTGAGATGCATGTATGCAAGTGTGTTCATGTCCTGAGGCTCTGGGTTAAGCTCCTGGCTCCCTCTGGCATCATCTGAAAGCCTGAGCCTGAGAGCTGAGCCACAGGGCTGGAGCAGTAGCAGGAACACAGGACAAGGTGATGCCAAGGGCCTGCGAGGAGCTCTCCTGCTAAGGCAGCACCAAGGTCTCCTGAAGGTGGCTGTGCAGACAGCAGCACGGAGGAGCTCCTGCTGTACAGTGCCCGTCTGCCTCCGTAGGCAGCTCAATAATGAATGGCATCCTTTGTGCTGTCTGAAAAGCAAGCTGTGCCTGCAGGGCCCTGCAGCTCTCTTGCACGTCTCCACCGAGGGCTGAAGAGATGGAGACCTGAGTTTCTGCCTTGCTTCACAGCAAATTGATACTTTTTTTAAAGAAAAGAGGTAATGTGGTACCTTTGGTGTCGTGTTTTACAACTCTGTGACCCAGCGAGTTCAGGCTTGTTCTCTAAAAGCTCTGGAGTCTACCAAAAAGCCCTGCAGTTAAGAGTCCCCAGGCACCTGAGCCCACCCATCCACTCTCTCCTGAACTATGAGTGAGGAGGAGGAGGAGCCAAGTGTGAGGCTTTTCATTTCTTCCCCTTCCATACAGCACAGGCCACTCCAAAAGCAGCCGTGACCCTCATGGACCCTCCTGGCCAAAGGACTTCAGCCTCAGAGGCTGCAGAGTGAGTGAAAATGAGAGATACCTATGGACAAGCACTTGTCCCATCTTGCAACATCACTTGTCAGCGTCTTCTAATCTGATCCCAGGCTGCAAAGGGTTGCAGCTCAGCTTGTAAATTACTGGGTACCATGACAGTGATATTATAAAGCAAGGAACAAAATAATTGGTAGAGTAGAAAAAAAAATCCCTGGCTTTGCCCTGGGGCGGGGAGGCACACTGGGACAGTCTCCAGCACCAGGCCATTTTTAGCAAAAGTAATCACAAATGCAATTAACTTCTTAGCTGACTTGGCTACAAAGAGGGAAAGGCTTCAGATGATAAGCAGCACTCATTATTACTATGCTGTAGAATTTAGTTCCTCTAGAAGTACCACGCTGTGTTTTGCCAGCATCTAACAGCAAACCATCGAACATGAAGGTGGAGAGTTAAGGTATGTGTAAGTTCACTGGGTTTGATTCCTGGCTTTTGTACTTCCCTTTGTTGGGCAGCTCCAATATTTCCCAAGTATTTTATGTTTGGATTTAGTAATTGCTAATACATGGTCTAAGGCTAGAAACCATAACATACATTTTACAACATGCACACTGGCTGTGTGCACCTACTCAACCAGCCTCCTGTTTGTTCCAGTCTCCCAGGAGACTGTTTAACATGAAAGCCCTGCTCTGTTTGCTGCCTAGCCTCCTGCACCCCTTGTAGAGATTGTTTTAGGAAGGCTGACCAGGGAATATTTGTCAGCTATTGAATCAACAAAGTTTAGCCACAAGCAAACATTTCATTCTGTTACCTAAATATTGCCAAACTCCCAGAACCTGGTCAAAACAGAAGTGATTTGCACTGGGGTATTAAAAGGTATGTCCAGGCCTGAACATCCAGTTGAGAGCAGGGCCACGGAGCAGGCTCATGTTGGCCTGGATTTCTTTTCAAAGTAACAGCTAGAATTAGAATGGTTTGGGTGGGAAGGGACCTTTAAAGGTCACCCAGTCCAACCCCCTGCACTGAGCAGGGACATCTGCAGCTAGAGCAGGGTGCTCAGAGCCCCACCCAACCTCCCCTGGAATGGTTCCAGGGATGGGGCAGCGACCACCTCTCTGGGCAGCCTGGGCCAGGGGCTCACCACCCTCAGTGTACAAAATTTCTTTCTTGGATCTAGTCTAAATCTCCCTCTTTGAGTTTCAAACTATCACCCCTGGTCCTGTCACAACAGGCCCTGCTCAAAAGCCTGTCCCCAGCTTTCTGACAGACTCCCTGAAGTTCTGGAAGGCTGAAAGTACCCATGTGTGAAAAAGTTTTGAAACTCAAATAAAGAGAACCTTAACCTGACATGGTGTTTTTTTGCTGCATCTCCCATAGGAGGAAAGTCACCCAGATCTTCAGATCCAACTGAAAGCTGGGAAGAAGCAACAGTTACAGGAACACAGTTCCTCCCTTCTGGAGAACATGCTGAGCTCCTGTCAGACTGCACGCCTGGGGAGGCTGGTGGGTGTGCTGAGAGGAGGAGGAGTCCTGAGAGCAGCACGTTTTCAGGTAGGAGGCAACAGGAACACAGTGTGAGGACCAGAACACAGCTCCCACTGTCACGCCTCACTCCACAGCCCCGTCCACGTGCTCTGCCAAACCAGCTCCACAACACCCTGCACAAGGCTACGAGGCCAAGGGCAGCTGGGGGAGAGCACTGCCCTGCTTCTGCACCTACCTGTACACCACCACAGGGATCCTCTTCCACGACCTAAACGAAGCCACGTTCTCCAGCTCCTTATCCGTGATCCAGACAGGGACCAGCAGCTTCTGGGGATAACTGGAACAAAGCCTGGAATAAAGAAAGTGTGAAGGCAAGATGAGGACTCAGCAATGAGAAATCTGCAGCAGGGAGGGCAGGAGCAGCTCACACTTCCCCAAACTCAGCGTGCAAGACTGTGGCTCTTTCTCTTCATATCCATCTCAGTACAGTCTCAACGTAGGAAAAATGAACCAAAAAATGCTTTTAGGAAAGAGCCAAGAGAAGACAACCTCCCTTCACCTCAGGCCTCAGCTCTAGCCCATACTAAGAATCCCAGTACTTCCCAAGGATGCCTTTGGAACATCCTCTGGATTTAAGAATTCATGAGGGTCTAGGGGAACAGCTGTGAATTTATGTGGGGGTTTGGTCTCCTTGCAGCACTTGCAAAACCCAGAAACACAGGCAGCTTCTGGTAAGTGGTGATCTGCCACTTTCTGCCTTGCAGAAAACAGGTCACCATTGATAAGCTTTACACATTTAAACAGAGGTAGATTTAGACTAAAGGGAAGGAAGAAATTTTTGACACTGAGGGTGGTGAGCCCCTGGTGCAAGTTGCCCAGAGAGATGGTTGATGCCCCATCCCTGGAACCATTCCAGGTGAGGTTGGATGGGGCTCTGAGCAACCTGCTCTAGCTGCAGATGTCCCTGCTCCCTGCAGGGGGGTTGGACTGGATGGCCTGTAAAGGTCCCTTCCCACCCAGTCCAGTCTGGGATTCTACATTTCACTGCAAAGAAGACATAACCCTGCCCAGAAAGATGGCAGTGGTGATTTGGTGTGTGCTATCATAAAATGACATGAGGGAGATCAAAAGGAATATCTTGTTTGGTGAGGTGCCAAAAATCAGATTCCTCATACACCTCTGAACACATGCCAGTAGCAAGAGGAATGTGATGGGCAAGTCCCTACCAATCTGGTCCCCTGGGGAAGAAACTCAGTGTGCACAGCTAACAGCAGGGGGGATGGGACCCAGCCCTTCAACAGGCAGAGCTGCAGTACCAGAGGAGCCCCACATCGGAGTGAACCTGAAGTGTAAAGCAGTTCAGCCAAAAATTCAGCTGGGGAGGGTGGGGGAGACAAGAAAAGGCTACAAGATGCTTAAGTCCCAAGAATAAAAATGTTAAAAACCCAACTGCAAGCACATCATCAGCAGGGCAAGAGAAGAGCCAAGGGGAAGAGGGGTGGCCTGGTGTTCCCAAGCCCAGGCTATCCCAGCTGACAGCAACAGGCACAACACAGCACTTAATATTGTTTTGTTTGTGGTGCTAGTGAGGAACTGCCTGCCACGTTAGAACACACAGTGTCTAGACAGTGTCTCAGAAAGCCCCAGGCAGAAAGCAAGGTTGGTCTACAGGATAAAACCAAACAGGGTGAGGAAGAGGAATCCAAGAAGCAAAATTAAAGCTGTCAGGTAAGAAGCTGAAGACCAGGATGTCTGTGGTAGGATGACTAGGCTTGGACATCTCTGAAATGCCTCAGATTCCATGTGTAAAGTTGCTCAGGAAATTAGAGAAGCACTGAAGTGTGACTGAGAATAAAGGTATGTGGAAGAGCATTAGCAGCTGTTAAGAGCTAGAGTTTTTGGAATAGCTGAGTAGACACAAGGATGGGTTTCACTGAAATGAAAACAGAATCAATTCCCTGGTGTTCCACAGGCAACATTACAGGTGATGTCTTAAAACTAAAAACGGGGAGAGTCAGTATAGGAGAGGTTGAGGAGCATAACTTCTAAGAGTTAAACCACTAGAACTCTGTAGCCTTAGGAAAACAGTAAGAAAGAATTCAATAAAATTCAGGTATGAAACAGGCCAGCCTCAAGAGGTTAAGCCAAACTTAAGCAGGGTGCAAAAAAACAGGCAACGAGGTCAAGACAAACAGATCTGTGCTTCTAGACTAGAATTCCAAAAAATAAAGTAGAGGAACTGAAAAGCCAGGATAAATAAGGTTTGCTTAACAGCCTCTTATAAACTTGATGCAAAGAAGATTATTTGTGGTACCTACATTTCAGAGTATGACCTTTGTAGGAAAACCAAACCAGGATGAGCTAGTGAACAAAGTGTGATATGTTCCAGGAGAATGTGAAGGTCAGAGTGTGAGGCTGAGAGTTACCAGCATCCACCAGCAATGCAGGACATGCACTGACTCCCATCCCAAGCCTAAAGAGAAGTGAGATAGCACTGAGGGGGCACTACCAACCACTGGAGCAACTGCAACAACATCCAGGAGGGGCTGAAAGAGATGCAGAAAGGCTGCGAGGGCAGAAACTGCTGTGGGAGACTCGTGTGGCTTCCACATAAAACACACGAAGCGTCACGATAACGCCCAACATGACAGTGACATTTTGAGATGCAATCAGCTGCTTCTTGGTGCTGCCACCCAAATAACACAAGTACAGAACTCTTCCTTTGGCCCTAAAGCTGCTCTGGAGTAGAGTAACTGAAAATCCCTTGCTCATAGTATTCACCACACAGTAGAATTCCACAATATTTTTAGAGGGGATAAGTCTCCCACGACAGCAACCATGAGTTTCAGAAGAGGGGAGGGGAAAAAGAAGCTGGCAGATGATATGAGGGTTATTTAAATATGTTATTGGATGGTGATATAAAATGCATCACAAAGATCAGAAAGAGCTGGCAGAGCTAAACAGTGAACTAAAGAAGGATTTTAGAGATAAAAGGACATCCTTCAAAGAGGGGAAATGTTTCCCAAGGACATGAGAGACACCAAATGTGCACCTGAAGTTAAAAAAAAACAGTAAAAATGAGACACATTAGGGAGTTTTTGAGAAATGACCTGTTAAAAGATTAAAGCTCTGAAGACCTTTGCCAAACATCTTGGAGGTTATCAGCCTGCAACCAAAATTGAAGGTCTAATAGATCATCCAGCTCACAGAAGAAAATGAAAACTATGTGCACTGGTGATTCAGCAGAAAAGCCCACAAAGAAGCTGCCAGACCTAACCCCGTTTTACAAGGGACAGGGCACAAGAAGAGATCCACGTGGAAACTTCTGCAGGGGAGGTTTTAGAACAATCTGCTAGGCCTGAGGAGTAACTAATCCCCAGGACTAGATAATGCCCCACATCCCTCCAGCAACCCCGCGGAGCGGGTGAATGATTAACGGGGTGCGTGAGCCACTGCTTACCTTGGCTTGGGTGCCAGAGGAACAGAGGGTGGCAAGCACGGCCTCAGCTCTGTGAAAAGGGCTCTGGAGAGAACGTGGGAAACCACAGGAGCCCTGCTCCTGCACGGAGCAACAGGCTGTCACTGCTGGGGCAAGGGTAAACACGGGGCCCTTGGGAAGAGTCAACACGGCTTTTGTGGAGGAGGCCGAGCATCCATGTGGAGCTGGCTGGAGACGTCACTGAACGAGCAGGTACAGCCCAAGGGGCTCCCTGGATGGGATTTTCTGAGAGGGTTTTTCAGCATTTTTATTTTGCTTGTATTAGTTTTTTGGATGTTTTATTGTTTGTTTCTTTCTTTCTACGTGATTCACCAAAGACTTGAATGAAATTTAAGTAACTCTTGATAAGAAATCATACAGAACACCAACTGTTATTTTTCACTACAAAGGGATTTCCAAGGGGAACTATTCTTGTCCTTGTGTTGTGCAATAAGCTCACAACTCATATGGTGAAAAGATGAAGTGATGGGACGTGGGTCATGGATGGGTGGCCTGAGACACCCCTGGGACCACGCTGACCCAGAACATGGGATGAGACCTTTCTGAAACCGTGAGGTTTGATCCCCAAAAGTGGTGGCTGTAACAACACAAACACCTAAAACTGCAACAAGCCACACCTACAGACAAGGACCTTACCCAGCCCGGTGAGAGATCCTCCCTCACAGGATGCAAACCCATGGGGTTTACAGCCAAGTCTTTGTGCACTTGCTGTCTACACATTCATATGGCAAATGCAGGCAAAGAACACTAATTATCACTTTTCCAAGAAAAGCCAAGGACAGTGTTAAAATTTGTAGTGAACCATAACAAACTAAGACAAAATATGAAGTAAGAGCGCTCACAGAAACCAACAGGAAACATTCCAGTACCACAGAACTCCAGCCAGCTTTTCCCTCATGAAGTCAAAAATAAATAAACCCACAATTATAAAAAGATCAAAGCTGAAAATGAGCATCCACCCTGAGGGAAAGGTGAATGGTTTTTTTCCCTTTTTTTGAAGGAACTACACATGCACCAAACCCCCCAGCACTAAGGTTGGTATGAAATAACTCCTGTCTCAGGTGCAGCAGGTGGGGGATGCCAGGACCTGGTCATTTCTCTGGGTATACAGGTCATGGGAGATGCAAGAGCCAGGCAGAGCTCATGATTTTATTATCACTGTATGCTGAAATAGTATACTTTTATCAAGACCAAAGGAGTGGTTATTATATGCTTGTATTGCCCTAATTTTACGATGGCTGTCGCCAGGAAGCAGATAATGGTTTCCAGATAAGGACATCTCAGAACAGACTTGAAAGACAACGAACAAAGCCATTACCTTGGAGTATCCTGCCTCTAACAGCACTGTTTTGCCAGTGCTGGGAAATAAAAAAGATAAAAGGACTATAAACAGTTAAAAAGTAACCCGATTCTTGTGAATAGAGGCAGGTGGTAATGATCAAAAGCCAAGGCAGGATTTAAAGACACACTCCCCCAAGCAGCAAGAGAACTGGTTTCTGAGTTGCACAAGCAAATTACACCACCTTTGAGATCTCAGTGTCTGCAGGAAGCTGTGACCTGCCAGGATCCCCAGATAGGAACTCAGCAGGTGGAAGGAAGCAAAGCCAGGCCTGCAGCCAGCTTGCTGAGGTTTGTTTCAAGTTCTTTCTTCCCTGGTTTGCTTGGAAATAAAACATCTGTCTTTAAAGAAGCTGGCTAATTCCTGTGTTGTACTGGCTAGGAAGTGAACCACAGGTGGTCAGTCTAAGTAAAACTTTAAATTGTCAGAGGGATCCACATCTCAAAATCTAGCAGTGGAGAAAGCCTGACTGCTCTCCAAGACATGCAGAGACTCTACCCAGTGCAGGGACCTACAGGTTGTGCACTCTGAAACTGAGCAGTTCAGGAAAGCAATATTTTACATGCTTGGAGAAACTGCATGAATGCCAAAGTCACGCTAAAGGTCCGAGAGCAAGTGTGTGGTCAGTATGGCCAGGCAGAGTGTAAATCAACCCCAAACCTAGTGTCTGCTGCCTGGATTCTTGAGGAAGAGAGAAGGGAACAGGCAGCAAACTGCAAAACTCCACCAGGATTTCCCCAGGTCAGTGTGCCTGAGGCTTCTCACAGGGTCCCCACGAAACTGGTGACCTGGAACTGTCTGATATACAGGTGACAGGGACACCTTTACTGGCTAAGACAGAGAAAAGACTTGTTCAGTCATCTGCCTCTGTCCAAAAAGTTTCACTCCATCACCTCTGTGAACAACCTTCCACCAGCTGTTAGGCTGCAACCCAACCCTGCCTTCTGCACCAGGCTGAACAAGCCTCACTCACTCCCCAGACTTCAGAGCATCCCGACAGCCCCCCACTGGCTCACCCCCAGTTTCTCAACAGTGCTGAACAGCTGCTCAACTTTATGAAAACTTCGTGGCTTTTATTTCAAACATTTTAGAGAGAATGACTGACCAGAAAGGTAATTCTACAGTGGATAGTTCCTCCAAGACTCCTGAGCATCTTCAAGGATGAATTATGGCCACCACCTTACAAACTACCTGGCTCAGCACTTACAATTGCTGCTGGCTCTGGTGTTTGGGCTGCATTCTTTCTGCAGTTCCATGATGTGAAAGGAGGAAAGAAAGGGGATCTGGCTCATATGCTGATCTGCCCGAGGGTTATCAAGGCCAGGAAGGAGGATTAGCTGGAGTCTGACTCACCCACTGCTCTGCACGGGGATTGCAGAGGGAAGAAGGTACCGAAAGGGGAGAGCAGAGAGAGCCTGGTGGTGAAACACTCACTTGTAATTGTTGTTGATGTCAGAGACACGCCAGACGTTCTGCAGGTCAAAGCCCATCCTCACCAGCTCCATCTCAAATCGGAACCTCACGTGGTCCCCTGGAAGAACAGAGCACAGGGCATTTACTGACAGCTAAGCAGGACCCAGGAAATCTGAACAGGTTCGTGGCTGCTTCATGGAGAAACTACAGGACAGCTGGATGGCAAGCACCTTGCTTCAGAAGCCAAAAAATCCTCATCCCTCACAGGGATTGCTCTACTTATTTTGCCAAGTCAGATCACCTCAGTCTCAGGGCACACTGTGGCCTGGAATCAGCCTTCTCACAGCCATGTGGGAGTGTGGAGGTTAACTTAATCCACTTCTGCCCTTCTGCCAGAGATGGCTTCCAAAGTGGATGTGGGGAATCCCATAGCAGAGGAGCACAGAGCACCCACCCCAGACAGCTCCTTCTCCCACACTGCTCTCAGAGGCTGACTCAAGGTTTGACCTCTTACGTTTTAGCCTCGCCTTACAAAATCCTGGCTGCCTTTGTTGCTCCAGTGTCAAATCTTGTTAATAAATAAATACTGCAAAGCTCCTCACCTCATTCATATCCTGCAGCAACAATTTCCACAGGTATTTATTTATACTACAGAGAAATACTTTCTCTAAAGGAAAGACAGCAAAATGTCTCCCATTTCCTGGTGTTTGGGACATGGTGAGAAGACAAACTCGACCTTTTCTCTACCAGCTTCTTTTTGATATCTCTCAGCTATACTATTCAACCCCATCCCTCTACCCCAATCTGTGTTTGGGCATTTCATTCAGGCTCCTGCATCTCTCCTCTAGGACTGGCACATTTGTTATCTAAAGCCAGGTTTGTCACTCATTTTAATCCCCTTTTAATCATGAAACTGTTTAAAGACAAAGCAACTGCAAGTGAACTTTGTGTTCCCAGAGGAGGGAAACTCCCAATCCACACGAGGGCACCACTGCAGCTCTGGTTTCCTCTTTATGGATTCAAAGGTTTTATTTGTGCCTGTGTACAGATGAGCCAGACACCTCCACAGGCCTGGTGACAGGAATGTCTCAGCATTCCTAGGTGTTGGAGAAGAGATGCTGTCATGTTAGTTATGCACCTCAAAGCTGATGATGTTTACCACACAGACCCATGACTGCTTCAGCTCTCTATTGTCCTGGTGAGAGTACTAAAGTAGGGAATATTTTCTTCATTCATGGGAGAAAGGAAAATGTATGCTGCAGATTTCTGGCTCAGAATGCTCCTCATTATTATTATTTCTTTTACCGTGCTTGTTATCCAGCTGCATCTGGCCATCAGCTGGGTCTTTAGGCCAGGCATAGGATGCCTCTCAGCAAGATGAACTTGAGGTATGGCTACAGCAGAGCTGTAGAGGCAGACATCAGTTTATGAACAACAGCTCAAATTGCATTGCAGTGCTGCTGGGCAGAGGAGAAGGAAGGGGACAGGCCAGGAGCTCACCTGGACGGCAGAGATGTGCATGTTGATCCTCCTCATCAACACAGACTCCTAAGCACCACGCATGGTAGGCAAATGCAAAGAGGTCCTCAGGCTTAGCAGGACGGGCAATGGCTCGGTTTAGCCTCTTCAGCCACTCCTGGCACTGCTTAAAGGTGGAGAAATGGCACCTGCAAACCCAAACACAAATCATCCTCAGCGAGTACGTTCGTCCAGCCGAGACGCACAGGGAGGGAGCTCTGCTCCACTTCACCAGGAAAAGGAACAAAGTACCAAGTCTCAGTAACCTTGGCCATGAACAGCTCAACTCCAGCAGCAGCAGAGACACCAGAGCTGATCACAGCAGCTGGCCTGCAGCAGCATCTACAGTAAAGCAATAAACTGGATACCTGATCACTTTGGAGTCCTTGCAGACGATGTGAAGCTGGAACATATCCCGACACTCCACACTTTCCATCATCCTCAAAGGCACCTGTGAGGGACAGACATAGGGCATGACAAGACACACCAGGTCACACAGCAGACACAGCAGCCTTGCCCACAGGCCCACCACACACAGTCACAGCTCCACTGACAGTCCTGAGCTCCTCGGTCAAACCACAAACCCACCCCGAGGTTTATGAAGCTGCCTGACTCAGCGTAGAGCTTTCTTCAACAATAACTATCCTAATTTTTGTTTCTATTCTGTCCTTGGGTAGTCTCCCACCTGGGGCCAGTTACTGACTAAATTGCATCCAGGCAAGCACAGGTAACGGAGACAAACAAAAGCTGCAATAAAATATGGCAAGTCAAGACAGTGAGAAAAAGCCTCAGGCTCTCACTGTCTGACTTCAGTTGCTGGTCTCCAGGTAGGAGAAGCCTCATTAAAATTGGCCTGCAAAAGACCTTAACATGTCTTAAACCAGCCAAGTTTAGTGCTTGAATTTAAAGAGAATAGCAAAAGACCTAATTATTAGCCAAAGGAAAACCCCATCCACACACCAAAATGCAGCAAGCAGCAAAACAGCAACTGCATGACCAGCAGTAACTAGTGACAGCATCAGGCCCGGCATCCTTCAAGGACAGTTCCCACAACACAGAGATGGCTTCTGTGTGTGTCCTGGCCCTGAAATACTGCGAGAGGTGATGGTTCAGGCAGCAGGAACAGACAGATCCAGACTTACATTGATCACGGAATCCTTGAATTTGATATGAAGCCTGTAGTTGGAGATGGCGATCACAGCATCGTTTGCATGGCCAAGATACTCCACCCCCTCACCCTGTAACACAGTGAATGGGACCTGGAAGGGAGACATCACCAATTCAGGACACACGCAGAGGACTCTGCACAGGATAAATGCCAAGAGCTGCTCATCCAACTGCCTCCGCAGCGCATCTCCTGCGGGAAACCGTTCACAGCACCGTGCACTGAGAGCAGACAACAGCACGAGGCCATGCAAGACAGAGCTTCTTCCAAGGATGCCTCAGGAGCCACCCAGCACCTCCTGATGGATCGTTACATGTGGAGGAGACGTGGGACCACAAGTGCTAGGCACACCAACCGCGGGCACCCAGCAGTGAGGTTGTTGCGTGGGGACAGAGGGGTTTGCGGTCCCGCTTGTCAGAGGGTAAGTGCAGCCCTGGTGTGAGAGGCAGAGTAAAGGACACAACCTCGGGCACAGCTCAGAGCCCAGCTGGAGACTGCTCTGCACAGCTCCAGGCACAGCCTGATGAGATCAGAGTCCTCTGCCCCAAGGCAGAGTGTCACACATGTCACACAGATCACACACGGAGCACTACGAGACTCACCGGTACAAATCCAGGTAAGGAAATGAACCAAAGTTCTGCACAATTTCTGCTGGCAAGGCTCTGAGGGAATCTGTCTATAGGTATTTGGATGACTGAGGAAATTTCATTCAAGTTCAACACAGGCAAGATCCTGCACATGGGGCAGGCAATCCCGAGCAGAAATCCAGGCCAGGTGATGAGTGGATGGAAAGCAGCCCAAGGAGAAGGCCCTGGGGGTGCTGGGGGTGAGGAGCTGGACAGGAGCCCCCAGCAGCCTGGGCTGCACTCCCAGCAGCGTGGGCAGCAGGGCAGGGCGGGGATCCTGCCCCTCTGGCCTCTCTGGGAGACCCCCCTGCAGTGCCGGGGCAGCTCTGGAGTCCCAGGGCCCTGCGGGAGCGGGGCCAGAGGAGCCCCAGCAATGCCCCGAGGGGGGAACCCCTCTGCTGGGAGCCCAGCAGGAGAGAGTTGGGCTGGGACAGCTGAGAGGAGAAGGCTCCAGCTGGGGAGACCTGCTGGGGGCTGCCAGGGCTTAAAGGGGGCCTGTAGGAAAGCTGGAGAGGGACTTTTTATAAGGGTCTGCAGTGACTGACATTAAACTGAAAAAGGGAAGATTTACATTAGATGTAAGGAATAGGTTTTTCACTGTGAGGGTGGTGAGACCCTGGCCCAGGTTGCCCAGGGAAGCTGCTCCATGTCCAAGGTCGGGTTGGATGGGGCTTTGAGCAACCTTCTCTAGTGGAAGGTGTCCCTGCCCATGGCAGCAGAATTGGAACTAGATGACCTTTAAGGTCCCTTCCAACCCAAACCATTCTGTGACTCTGTGATTGAAGTTACTTGTATTAGAGGTAAAAAAAAATAAAATAAAAAGTCCAGATAATGAAGTGTCTGTTTTTTCCATCAGCCCAGACATGCCATTGCTATTTTTAAAACAGGGAATCCTGGCAGATGGCCAAGTTTGATTTTTCTTTTCTTGTATTAAAAAACAAAAGCAGAACAGCCTAAAATTCACCTTTTTGCTGTGCCCTGAACGCCACCTCCAGCAGGTGATGCTGGTAACCAATTATGCAGCAAAATGTCATGAATTCATTTCAGCCACAGCCTTTTACCTGTGAGACAGGGCATCTGATGAAACAATTAATTACACTGTAATTAGTACAAGTCAGACCACCTTGTCTTTAGTTCTAATTTGTTTCTGTGGCTTGAGTATGTGCTGCCTAAAAATTGAATTTCCTGCATTTCAGACTTCAAGTGACAACTGTAGGAACAACTTCTCCCTTTAGTTACTTGTACAAAAATAAAATCCTTAGACTGGCATCTACCTGAGTACTCTTGAAAAAGGTTAATTATTTAACTAATAATTAAAATGTTAAATATTAAAATATGTTAATATTAAATATGTTAATATTAAGATATTAAAATAAGCTAATTATGTTAATTATTGGACATCAAGAGAACATACTCTCTGTATTTCTGCAGTTTATTTCTGCATGCTTGCCAGAGCTGTTTTTAGTTGGCACGTGTTTCTTCTGCTTACGTGTCTCTTTCACACAGCAGCAGAAGGGAGACAGATTAGAAATGGGACTGTAAAACTGTGAGAACTGACAGAGGGAAACCCTGAAATAAACTGACAGGTGCCTGAATACAGCTTGTCAAGCCGAAGGCATCCTTTTAGACTCCACTTTACACTGAGAGAATAACAATCTGATGAACGCAAATCACCCTTGGTGAGGGTTGAACTTTACAGCTCTCCCTGCAGAAGCACTCAGCAGATTCTCTCTTCCCCAGGTAGTCTCAGCTGAGCATTGCCTCAGTTGCTTCCCCAGCCACAGACATGCTTGGTCCCCTGCAACTCTTCAGCCCACATTTGCTCCTTAGAGTCAACCCTCCTGGTGCCACATTTCAGTCCTTGCTTTTATCAGCACCATCAATCATGGGGCAAACTCAAACACTGCAGCAGCAGTGATAACTGGCTGCAGCCAGAGGAGAAGGACAACCAGCACTGGGACAAGGTGGTGGTGGACTATAAAGGAAGCAACAAGCACCCGGAGGCTCCCACTGCTCAGAACACCTCCTGTGCTGCACAGCAGCGACAGCACCCGGGGCTCTTCCAAGGGCCTTCTGCAGCAGGAGGCTGGCACCATATGGAGGTTTCTCCTTCCAACAGCTCTGCAGCAGGAAAACGCCAGGAGCAACGTGTACTAGGGCCAGATCAGCCACTGCAGTTGCAGGCTATGGCAACAGTGAGCAGAGCCCAGCCCTGGTGCCCAGCCTGTCCCAGAGAGCGTGTGCCTGCCGCAGAGCGCTGCGCGGGCATGGTGCCGCTCCCGCTGGTGGCACAGGTGGGAGCCCAGGGAACACCCAGGAGGGAACACCCGGGTCGGCTCCGTGTTGCACCCCGCTCCAGCCGCACCTCTGAGCAGCAGATGAGGTGCAGCACAAGTGGCAGTGTGGTGGCAGGGCAGGGAGGGCAGGGCTGGGGCACCCAGAACTGCCGTCAGCAGCCAGCACGGGCACCGACAGACCCACCGGTCTGAACATGACCTACAGGCCTGGCCAGCCTGCTGCCTCCAGAACACCTCTCCAGTCCTGGAGCACTGCCCTCAGGTCTCACCCTACCAGAGTCGAGCTGGTTTGGTTTTCTTTACTTCCTTACCTGCAGTGACTCTTCCTCCTTTACAAGCTCTTTCGGGGGGAACAAGTCCTTGGCCTGGATGTACTCCAAACTGGGAGGGCCTTCCTCGCCCTGCATCGCAAACAAAACACATATTGAGACAGGCCTCAGCCAGCACATGGTAGGAAAAGCCAAAAATTGAAGCTGCTGGGTACTCTTGGCATCCCAATACCTTGGCAACCCCCCGGAAATGCCTGCATGGAAACGCCTGCTGTGCCTCAGGACTACACTCTGCACTGCAGGACCCCAGCGGTTCCTCTGGCTGTCACAGAACACCCACAGCACAGTGGAAGACTGAAGCAGGTCTCCAAACCCCTTCTCTTCCAAACATGTGGTACTTGGAAAGTCAAGCAGGCACACCTTGACCACGCACAGGACTTGGTACTGATGTGATAGTAATCTGTCACGCCAAATGTTACCCCATCACCTTCACTAGGGCACCACAGCAGAAACACCGTAACGCAGAGAGTTTCCATCTACAGTCCAGCTGTGACCTGCTCTTCCTCCTCCTATGTTCGTAAGGACCCTTCCTTTAGGGAGCTTTTGTTTTCACTCTGAGCCCAAAGAAAGCTGGGAAGAGCCTGGAGCTTTTTAAGGAGCATACACAAGCGTGAAACAACCAACCCTGTAACAACTGCATCTAAGCACACTCAATTCATAGCGTGTGTTGCTGACTGGTGACAGCACCCAAGCAGGACGTTCATCCTCAGGACAGCTGGATGTAGCTGACCTGCTCAGACAGGCACCCTCTGAAGTCCACGGAAGCCTCAGAGAAGTGGTCTGAGAGGATACACAGAGCCTGGACATGTCACCTTGGAGAAGTGGAGAGCGTCTCTCAGTTTTGGACCTGTGAATCTTCAGTCACTCGTGAATTCTCACCAGCCCACACCCCACACTCTGGCAAGCCACTGGCACGTTGTACAAACGAGCAGCACCCAGACAGTCAGCTGAGGATGCTCACGGCCAGGAGCCCTGGACAGTGTTAATTCCAGTGCCTCCTGCTCTCTAGCTCCTCAAGACTGCAGCATTTATTAAAAAATACTCTTTATGGTAAACATTAATTAATACTTTAAAATGAAACATCCTTCTGGTTAAGTCACCCAAGCCAGAACCCCAGATTTCAACCTGAAGAACTGAGAACCAAACCCTTTTGGCTGGGTTACATTAAAAACGAAGCTGAACTCCCTTATGTCACTGAGAGCTGCCCAAGCCTCAGCACCCGCAGGCAGAGCCTGGCCTGAAGCACTCCCCAGACCGGGGGGCAGGAGGACCCC